TGTGCAGGTTTGAAAATTCTAGAAAATCCCGTTTATTTTTGAGAATTTTTTTCTCGAGGGTGTTGCGCATTTATTTTCAATATAACGCATGAACAAAATCTATTTTTATATGGAAGAAAATGCGCAACACGCTTGACAAGAAAATTCTCAAAAATAAACGGGATTTTCTAGAATTTTCAAACCTGCACATTATTATACTAGAATTAAATAGGCTACAAAACTACATACCCTATAAGTTTCTAAAGATTCTGAAAGTGCAAAATATTGATGACATTTTTTCAAATTTCTGAAAAAAAATCCGGAATTGTGCACAAGGTTTTAAACGTTGACTTATATGGTTTATNTTTATATTATAGAATGTACTATATATAAAAAAAAATTAACGAATGAATAAATCACGCGAAACACTGAATATTGTAAAAAATAAAAGTGTGCTCTTTACGTGGGCGCCACTGTAAATGTAATTGAAAATATGAATGCTGTGAATAAAAACGGCGATTCAAAGTGTTTATTCTGGAGTTTGCTGTGACCCAAAAATATCAAATTCACCAGGCGTTGCTGATACGATTTCCGGCGCCAGAGCAAGAGAGGGTGAGAGGAGGTGATGAGGCATGGAAACAGGAATGTTTGACGGTTGTGACATCTGCATCGTGCTTAACAGAGAAGAAAACATCTTGGCGGTTTCGTGGCGATCATTCTCTAACATTTTTTGGGGCTGTTTGCGATTTCTTTCTAATAGAAGTTCCACTTTACTAAAATGGGCTTCGTCTTGCTTCTTCATGGAATCGACTAAGTTTTCCTGCGTTTTCTTCCACTCGTTTGTAAAAGACTCCATAGCTTTCAGATATGAGTTTTTTTCTGAAAATACACAACATGTCTTTATGTAATGCAAACACGTCTTTAACCACAATACTTAACGCACTTTGATTTTTGAACGTTTTCGGATTACGAGGAGTACTGCATGAGGGACTGGATTCCGAAACATCGGCATGTTCGTTTTCTTCAATACAATCTGCTTCCACTTCTAAATAGCTGCTTTGCGAAGTATTTGTGTCGTCTGCTGGCTGCTCGGTTTGTGAAGTGTCCACGCCCTCTACAGATACTGCAGGTCGATGACCAAGCACTTCATCTAACATTTCGAAATAATCACAGGTTTGTCTTTCAGCACCACTGCTATTATTATTCCGCTTGGCTTTGTAATAATCGCTTTTCAGTGATTTGAATTTCGCTCTAATTTGGATGGCGTCCTTTTTGATTCCTTTGGAATTCAATGCACGAGCCACTTCTTCAAAAATGCTTCGATTCCTTTTTATTTTGCTGTCCAACAATTTTAATATATGCTTTTCTTTTATAATAGAAATCATTTCTATTATTTCTTTTTCTCTCCATATATTTCTTTTCTTTTTATTTTCCATTTTATTTCACATTTCACACCAGCTTGTATTTCTTTGCTGAAAATCAACTTGAGTTTGGCATACAATGCTGCCATTCCTCTTCAATAAGAGCTGCAGCAGAAAACTTTAGTAGCACTNATGTACATATGTATGCCATTTTGCTCGCGCAAATTGCCGAGTGATCAGAGCGCTAGAGTGTCACTTGAGATATCCGAGTTCAAATCCTCGGGTAGGAGAAACCTAGAACCACAACAATACACAATTACCACACAAGATTTAACTGGTTATAAAAAAAACGCATAATTGGAGGTGCCCTGGGATCGATCATATACACAACTTTTGGGTCAAACGATTCACCTCTACACATCAACGTCTAACAACTCTCATAAATGACATGTTTGAAACCCCACATAAATTGCCAAGCTTCTTAACGATAGACAAACCATTTATAAAACCAAAAAATGCACAAAAAACCAATCCAGCCAACTATAGACCTATAACTTGCCTACAAACTCTCTATAAAATCATCTCATCAGCAATATGTAAAAATATCGACAAACACCTCACACAAAATAATATACTAACAAACGAACAGAAAGGATGTAGAAAAGACAGTAAAGGATGCAAAGAACAACTTATAATAGATATGCATATAGTGCATTAATCTTTGAAAGAAATACCATATAATGTATGTACCCTGATTAATAATATTAAAAAGTGTATTATAACGACCGTTTAATGTTATATTTGATACAAATTAATTTTGCTACTCGGAACGCTCTGCGCATTGCCACTGAATATTAGGTTTACTTAAAATTACATCCCTGGTCCTTGTTCTTTCTGTATTGCATCGTGGTGAATTCACATTTCTCAGAAATTTTATTTGCTAATTTTTGCGATTTCTAATGTCTAATGTAAGTTTTATGTATTTTTAGGATATGTTGAGGCAACAAAGGCGCAGTTTGAAAATGAAGTTATTAGTATGAAGTAGCAGCGCAGGCACATTTGGAGAATTATGCCGATAAGCAAGATGAAATTTGGGAAAGTAAGTGCCTGGTTGCAGCATATCTATGTATTAAAAAAGTATTTAAATTAATGAAATTGTGCTTAATATAAATGTTACAAATCGAGTGGCGTTATTTAAGATGTGCTCCAAACATTTCCCCGAGTAGTAGCTGAAGTTCAGCAAGAAGCAGGTCAGCAAACGTGCTACCCTGATCAAGCGTAAAATAAAGCGCTCTTCTGTGATTGCACTCCGCAAACGTGAAAACTTAGCAAAATATCTCCGTGACGGACGCCGTGAGAATAAGTTGCGCCGTCTGGCAAAGAAACACGGCCCATTCTACATGCTTGCAGAAGACAAATTGGCTTTTGTGATCTGTATCCGCGGTATCAACAAAGTTGCCCCAAAAGTTCGTAAAGTGTTACTGTTGTTCCGTTTTCGCCACATTAACCACGGTTTGTTCATCAAATTGAACCATTAATATGCTACGCATCGCCGAACCCTATATCACATGGGGTTATCCAAATCTTAAATCAGTTCGTGAATTGATCTACAAACGTGGAATTGTCAAGCACAGTCATCAACGTGTCTCAATCTCTGACAACCTTGTGATCGAACGCCAATTGCGCAAAGCGCACGATATTCAGTGCGTTGATTATTTGGCGCACGAAATATTCACTGTTGGATCCCACTTCAAGAAAGCCTCCAACTTATTCTGGCCATTCAAGCGCAACACCAAGCAGCGGTTGGCGCAATAGGGCTAATAACTACGTTGAGGTTGGTGATTTCGGTAACCGTGAAGATAAGATCAACAACTGCTGCGCAAGATGGTTTAAAGAAATTTTTTGGTGTACAAGGTGGAGTATTTTTATTTCAAAAATATATAATAAATAAAAATAGAAAATGTTTTTTTTTTGTAACTTTCTGAAGGTTTAAACCGCAAATATGCCAAACGGAAGGCAGCTTATATTCGCAATTCCTTGTGTCGAAATTCCATTGCCGTTTCTAAAGGCCATTTAAAAAGACTCCAATCCACAAATTTAATTATTTGTTTTGGTTTTTCAGCTCATTAATGATGCATCCAGGGTTGCATTTACCGTCTATGAAAATATTTAATGAAGCGTTCCAAAATTAGCTCCGAGCAACTAAAAGTTGGTTCAGCTTAAGTGAAATAGTTTCTTGTTAAATATTTATTCCTGGTACTTATTAAAAAAATCAGATCAATATTAATGTATGAAATGAAGTAAATTAAAATCTACGAATACATTTCTTGAATATTTTGTCATAGAGCCGTTATTAAATACAGACAAAACGTCGTCGGGCGTTGGTCTTGACGTATATAGAATTAATGCGTTAGAGAGATAAATATACAAGCTAAACTTTTTTGTTAATTAACGATGCATTTTACTAATCAGCCTAATCGTGAGTTTCGCTAGAATTTTTTTCACCCACCCGTAGTGAATACACGGAAACGAAAAGTGAAAAGGTGACTCGGTTCGAGAAAATGAAACTCATGATAAGGCTGAATATGTCGGAAACTAAAGCATATATTTAAAAACAGATGACGCTATTTGAAATATCTTTATTAGTTTAGTACGACAGCATTACCAACGTAATTTTTAGCAAATTAGCGAAAACATTTTAGTCAATTACTCGGAAACTAAAGAAGATATCAAAAAAATTGTTAGCAAAAAATCTAAATATCTTATTTTAAAATATATAACTGCATCTTTAACTAAAAACTGTTAAAAAGACGCTTACGGAGATTTTCCACTCAAGAGACGATATTTGAAAGTTACTGGCATAATTTCGAGACTGTATGTAAATTTTCGGCAAAAGTTAAGGAGTATATTCATATGCTGAAAAGATATTTTCGCAAATTCATGATTTATTTAAAGTATATCATCAGCCCTGTTTCCAATTCCATGTGAATAAATCGCCCCCATAATTTAATTTGTGCATTCAATATATTTCACAATTAACTTAAATACTAAATTGCAAATATTTGATCAACGACTTCGACACAGTAATATAAAAAATGGGTATGTATTAATAAAATAAATATTCTAAATACATTTATATTTCGGTTAAACCTGAGATGTTCAAGCGCACTGAAATATTTTTCTATCCATTTCTCTAGTGCTAAAATAATTTTCGCCACCTTGAAATGCTGCACAATACCCTTATTGCCGAATTCATTCAATTTAGATGAGGGCATTTGAGTGTGCTTTTGCATTTTAGCTGGCTGAGCAACAACACCTCCACTAGCTTTATGTTTTGAAAGAGTAATTCGTTTGTTTTCAATTATACTAGGAGCCGGCAAGTTAGTATTATCATTCACTGACTCAATTAATGCGATAAAAGTGCTTTCCAAGTCCGAAATCGCGTTTAGAATTTTATCTTTAAGCCTACAATTGACCGCACAATTAGTACACACACTCGTTATTGCGAGCGATATATAATATTAAACATAAAGCACAGAGCGAAAGAAAACACCTCCGGACCGTCTGAAAGCAAGAATTTTAGTGGTCTTTATATAATATTCGCAATGTTTTTCATTTGACTGTTTTCGCTATTTTTTTTTATAAAACTAGAGCTCATTATCTATCTAACAAAAACTATATAAATCCAAATACTAAACTTTGTGCAAAAAATTAAAAAAAAAAATCAACAAAGTTTCATTAGAATTGCAAACTTTTTAGCTAAAATTTCTTGAAATCAATTGCGTACCAAAATACGCATGTAAAGCTATATAATATTTAATTTATCCCCTCTTTTTTCACTTAAGAAGCATCTGTGCGACATTTCTACAATTTAATTTGTTATAAAATTCATGGAATTAAATGAAAACTTAAAATTCGCTGTAATTTCTCTCTAAGGTAACGCCACCGCGATTTGTTTTAATTTCACCTGTATTTTTTACATAGGTTTTTATGTTCTTTTTTTATATATCTGTACTGTAATGTCTGCTGACTGCACTTGCAGATACTGCCAATATAGAAGTACTACATATATGATTGAGAAGTGGAAGAATTAAAAAAAGGATGTGACGTATGCGAATAAAACTAGACTGCAAGGTGTACGAGAATTTTTGCAAAACAAAAACTTAATTCAGTGGAGCAAAAAAACAAAACATGCAATATTCTGCATAATTTACAAAAATGCTAACAAAAAAAACTTAACCAGATAAAAATACTAGTTTGCCTATATCTACAAAAAAGGTTAGGGGTGTACTAAAAGAAAAAAAGCAAAATGACCTAAGTCCAGGCTATGAGGTACTGATGTCAAGGAGATCACCAACCCGCGAGTTGCCGCTCACGTATGTCTACTCGCTATGCCACAGCGAATTGAGAAAGAAAACGACAGTGAGTACTAATTGCTCAGTTATTTTGAAATAGCGGGCCCAGTGACTTCCACGCGCTCTCTTCCAACTTTTTCAAGTACTTATGTATGTCCAGTGGATTCCTTATATACTTTGTCTTAAGGGACACTCAAACAGACGGGGTATTGGAAGTGCAGTGTCCCTTTACTCTGAAATATGTATCGACTGTGGCTAGTACTTTGTACATACATGTACGTACACAAAATCTTGCAGAAAATCGAGGTCATTATGGACCTGAAACCAATACGTGCTCCGATTACCCTTCCACGTAATAAAATGTTTTTTTTCCCCTTTGAGATATTTGCCCTTTATTGAATTATCGTGATTTTTAGTCTCTCTTAAGAAAACAAACTGGGGAATTTTATGATAAATTAACTTAACCCTCTTAATACAATTTTTTATTTTTTGATATTAAATTCAGTGTCGGATAATGCGGCGCAGGGTGGAAGAATCCTCCTCAACTTTGGCCAGATCTCCCTACGCATAAAGGGGGACGGGGTGACAGCAAGTCATCTAGCGCACAGAGACAGCCAAGGAGCAGCAGCCCAGGCATCTCGCAAGACCCAGTGAACGGAAGTCTACGTTGTTCCGTCCCGGGACCGTGCGGAACAGGTCAGGTAAGGCGATAGCGCTGATCAGGCTGGCGTCAGTGGCGAGAGCGCGAAACCTTCCTCAGTCTCCTCTACCCTGGAGGTGTCTCAGTCACCAAAGGCGGGCAAAGGCAACAC